TTGACTGTAAATAAAATATAACCTCACCAAAAGACACATATCACATTTGTCCAAGGCTTGATCAACTGCATTTAATACACCACGATCAAGGCCCTCTCCAAACCACACCACATGGGGACGAACTAATGCCCTACAGTTGGGTTGATCACATCTGCAGGTAAACCAAAAATATGATTTCTGATTTTCATACTCTTGTTACCCTTCAGGGCTGATTAATTTAATGCTACATCCAAACAATATTTTGATGAAATGAAACAGAGATGTATGCATGGTGAAATTCTCTGTCAATTCAATTTTTTGAAGACTTGAAATGACTATTGTGCTCTATGCCTTCAGCTTCACTCCCAACTCAAAACTTATTTTAAACCCTCAAAAAGGGTTTGTAACTAATCTGGTGGATCATTTGAACAGTTTTTCATACCTAGGCAAGTCTTCCTCTGGGATTTTGGCATCTTGAGCATCAGGATCTGGGGCTCTGGATTTAATAACAACAAAAAAATTAATTAAAAAAGTGGAAATAAAATGATATAATTATTATGTTACAGGTCAAAATTGAAGTCAGGGATATTTTGATTTCCCAGTTTCCTTTGTCTTCTAAAACTATTGTGTGTTATTCATGATCATCATGAATAATATTAGGGTTAGGAAACTGAAAATCAATCTAGGTTGAAACCATTAAGTATATGTCCTGAATTTCATTTTACACTGCAAAATATTGATATAGGCATCTTACCCCTTTCCCTCTAAGGCTGGAACTATTGGGCTCCTCCGGTTTTCTGTTACATGACCACAAGAGGTGCATCTGGTCTTGAACAGGGTACCTACATGTAGGTCAGATAAAAAAGATAAATATCATCTCATGAAGGTTATTTACTTTCTATTGGGTAATATAATTTTTATATTGCTTTTCTCATGAAGTATGCCACTAAATACTGTGCCTGTTAATTTCATGTGAGGGATGAAAAAATTATACTGAATTTATGTGTATCAGTCATCCAAAACTAGCAATGTTGGCCTATGTGATGATTTATCTCTCCTCATTGAGGGGTCTAGACATACCACAAGAAATCAAGGCTAGGCCTTATATTTCCCACCCCTTACTATGCATCGGAATCGTGTTCCCCACCCCCTGGGATAGAATTTGATAATTACTATCACATTCTATTCCCCCGGCCAGGCAAGGAAAACATGTCAAATGCCAGGGGTATGCCTAGGGGGTATGTTGAAACTTTGATTAGAGCGATACATTATCATGGCATGCATTACTTCTTGATGTATGACACAAGGGATTAAGTACTCTAACCATGAAGCTCTAAAACATCTTTAGCGCCTGCTGCTTGATGCAATTCATCAATATTCTGAGTGATAACAGTCACACTCCTTCCTTCTCCTTTAAGGCTCCTCTGAAATTCAGCAATGGCATAATGGGCTTTGTTTGGCTGTTTTGTCAAAACAACTTCACGCCTGTAACTGTAAAACTCCCAAACTAACGAGGGATTTCTTGCAAACGATTCTGGCGTCGCTAGGTCCTGAGCTCTGAAAGTCCTCCACAAGCCGCCAGAACCGCGAAAAGTGGGGATGCCACTTTCAGCACTACAACCAGCTCCAGTCAGGACAACTACATTTTGTGCTTTATGGAGTAGATCTTTGAATTCTGCTTTATCCGAGCTAGTGGTATGGAAAGAGCTCTCAGCCATCATATCACGACACCGGTTAACAACCTTCGTCCACAACACCACTTTCGAATTAATCTTCCGCAATCCAATCATCTGATAACACTGACACAGCTAAACAGTTTTTTTGCCAGGCGTTTCAGCAGAAATTCAGCTGTCATTATGAGAATCACTGGCACTACTATTTCCAGTCTCACTCTTTTACAGCGCTTTGGATTCAAAATGGCGGGACACTTTTCAGGTAGACAAGTTTAATATATTTTTGAAGAAAAAACAGTCGCTACAGTTCTTGGAAACTTCCAGTTACTGCGTAGTATTTACTTATATATCGTGAAGCTTAAGTTATTTAGATATCGCCCTCATACTATATCCCTCGGCCCACACCACACATCTAGTTCTTTGAAACACGTGTACGTGTTTTTTTCAGCTGTTTTTTCTTGCACACTACAGCTGACATGTACTTGCAGTAGAATGTGTTGGACAGGAAGTGCAGTTGCTTTTCTAGTTCTTGGTTTCATTGTTTCACATTCTGTCCTTGTGTGACTGTGTGATATGAAACCCAGAAAATTCAAAACTGCCAAAGCGATAAAAAGTGTTTAACTTTTCTTATAATAAATTGTTAGAGTTTGGCTTGCTTCCTGAGATTTGCAAAGCAGTGGAAGACATGGATTGGCTGTAAGTATTCTTGACTGATAGATTATCTATTAAACTGAATGAATTTAGATGTTAACCTTTGCAGATCTGACATCGGCCCCAGTTGTTCAAGAGGTGGATGGCACTATCCACTGGATAAATCGCTCTACAGTAGATAGTGCAATACTATTGGTTTCTCCAATACTTATCCACTAGACAGTGGTTTATCAGAAGAATAGTGCTATCCAACGTTTGAACAACCAGGGCCTGGAGATTATCTCTCTCAGGCTACCCAGTGACCTGGGGGGAATCCCCTTATAAAAGTGCTAGGGGTGGTTGTTGTCTCGCTTAGGGGCCTAAATTGCAAATTTTGGTCTCATTTAGGGTGTTTGGGAGGGAAAGACATTTGATTTAGCCATTCTGGTATCACTGGGGGCTCTGCTTAAAGAAATTTACAAAAAATTGCGTGGTGTCTGTTTTCATCTGGTCTCTTTTAGGGGTCAGTTTAAGCTTGAGCCGAGCCACACCCACATTGGTCTCCCTTAGGGATTTAATTTGAATTTTCTGACAAGCGTCCCCATCAGTTTTATATGGCCTTCCTACCTCGGGCCAAGTGGTACTGTATAGAACAACAACGAAACTCTGTTTTATGAAAGTCAATCAAAAATTTCAGATATTTGAGCTGCGGGAGACTTAAATTTTTTAATAATATTATTATTGATTTGTTCTTTTCAGTCTACCGACTGATGTTCAAGCTGAAGCCATTCCTCTGATCCTTGGAGGTGGAGATGTGCTTATGGTTAGAACACATTTATTTCACAGTCCAATCATCAGTTCATTTTTGCAGACCAAACACCAAAGTAAATTTTTAATGTTATGCTGATCTGCACTTTCTACACAGGCTGCTGAGACTGGAAGTGGAAAGACTGGGGTATGAAATAAGTTTTCTTTAAGTGATTTTGTAACAAATAGTCATGGTGAGTCGTGGAACTCATCTTGTGAAAAATCATGAGTCCCTGTCCATAATCAATGAGTCCCAGTTAAAGAAACAAGGAGTCTTAAATTGAAAATGTTTGGGCCTTTATGTAACTAGACAGTTAATCTGGAGACAGATGCCAAAACTCTTTAGTTTACTGAAATTAAAATATAGTCCTGTATAAAATAAATTATATTTAAAGCACAAAAAAGGCTAAAATAAATATACATTAGAAATCACTCATACAGGATATTCCACCAAACCATCTTCAAATCGATCAATTGTTCATTTCATCCCATGGGTTGCATTTCATCAATTATTTTGCGTCTTTGGTTATTTTTATGCGTCAGGGATAAAGGACGCATAGGCAACAAAATCACTGCTTTAGTGACTACAACACCACTACCCGGTTAAGCTCAGTTGGGAGAGCACAAGTCTGTGGAGCAGGAGGTCACAGGTGTTTTTTTTTTTTTTCAGTTATTCAATATTTGAAAGCCATGCACTTGACTGTTCAGGACTAAAATATCCAAATAATATGGTTTCATAGGTAGAATAATCAGAATTTGTATGGCCTGCCAAAAATTAAAAAAGGCAGGCTATATCTATATCTATTTCAAGCCCTGGCTTTGATGTTGTTATTGTTGTTTTTTGTTCTTGTGAAATTTATTATAATGTTAATCCAAAAAGCCTCCTAACTATCATAGAAAATTCAAGCCTTGCAGGGCCTGTGACTGACAATGCTATTTTCTTATTCCATTTCTGATCAGGCATTTTGTTTACCTGTGATTCAAATTGTGCATGAAACAGTAAGAGATGCTCTCAGTGGCAAGACTTCTCGTCCTGCCTCCAGTGCAGCTCCATCAACTGGTACAATTTTATAATATATAATTTTATGACTTAAAGGCAACCTTTTGTGCATAAACCCTTTCATTCTCTTGGCTATAGTGAATTAATTGATCTCACTAATAACTCAGTCTGTTGTGGTGTTTAGAAATTACCGGTAGTTCAGTTTGTTGTCTTCATGTGTATGGCACAAGAGCTCTAAATTAACTTAATCTGATCTAGCATGCCTTGCTTTCAAGGTTTGAGTAAAAGTTAACAGTATTTATTCTCACATGAAGGAATAGTGAGTCGTCACCAAATACTGCTACAGCACAGCCATCACCATCTTTCTTGGCCCCTTAAACGAAATTGCATGGACATCTGTACTGTACATTCAGGGTTTTAGTGTCCATGAGAATAGTTTCACTCCAAAAGTCAATTTTATGGATTGAGGGAATTATGTAATATCTATAAAATTGCATCTCAGTGCACATATATGTTCTTTTAAAGAATTTATCTTGAGTATATTAATTTGAATTTGTATGAATACTCTGGACAGACGTATTTATAAATTCTAATCTGACACTTGACTTCTCAAATTTCATTCCGTTATTAGCACCAACCACTTTTAGAATGAGTCAACATGACAGAGACCAAGATTTTGGTGAGTATTTAAATTAAGACCTGTTTCAGATGACACACTTTTCATCCAGAGACGTTAATCCAAATTTGGGCTGATCTTATTGACAGCAATGAGTAAGCCTATTGATCATTCATATGCTGACCTAATAAGCTCAGATCTCAGTACAAAAAGATTGCAATAAATAAACTTATGCATTAAGTTCTGGGCTCTAAAAAACTTGAATTCAATTCGTTTCAACAACCTGTGCAGTAGTCATCTTCAGAGTCAAGAGTGAAGATGACTACCGTACAGGTTGTGGAAACGTCAGTCACTGTCAACAACAACAGTCCTATTCAGGACTACATTCACCCGGACGATCAAACTCAACCTACTATTTTATTATTATTTTTAATAAATATTTATGACATTATGCCCTGGTTTGTAGCCATTGATGAGAAAGGTCTACTGTGCCAAAGTCGCAATCATTTTAGATGGCAAGGATGCCGCTCCACTCTCGGTGTTAAGCAGGGTAAGTCCATTATACAGTGAATCATTTATCTAATTTTGTGTGCACACGTTGTGTCCTAGGTCAAACTGTTAAAAACGTATTATTACCTTCATCATTGCCATAGGCATGTACTACTATGAAGCTACTGTAACAGATGAGGGTCTTTGCCGTGTTGGGTGGGCCACAGATCTCGCATCTCTAGATCTTGGTAAGTTTAATGACCAATTAGTTTAAAATGTCCATTGTCCCCCAAAGAAGCAGTCAAAATGTTTGAGCTGTGAACCTCAATGAGGAATGGCTTGAAACTGATAAATGTGTTGTAAATTTACCATGAAAGTACAGCAAACAGCAGAAACAAGTCCTATTAAATCTTTATTTCTCCTGCTTTATAACTGTTTTTAATTAATGTGTTAATGTTGTTGACCTTCAGGAACTGATAAACAAGGATATGGGTTTGGAGGAACTGGCAAAAAGTCATTTGGAAGACAATTTGACACCTACGGAGAGGTAGAGTATTATAAGAAGATAACTACACTGTTTAATAATCAGCTGATTATTACCTCATTATGTTTTTTTTTATAATTAATACATTCACAAAAATAACTTCCTTCTTATTGGATTCAATGGAGTGAATATTTTTACAGTAACTGCAATGATTGACTAATTTGTCTGTGGGTAATTTGATGATGCTGTGGTCCTATCAATGGCTCTATTAAAATATCTCTTGAGTGATCCACAGTTTGAATTAAAAAATCTGTGCAAGTTGTCAACTGGTCTTCTGCAGGGGTAGAGTGGTAGTTAATTCTGAACATTATAAGACGTAAAACTGTTCAGCTCTGACTACTAGTAGATCTTCAAGATCAAAATTGGCTACTGGTAAGTTGAGAAACCCTACCAACCTTGACTTCCATTGTTCTAGCCTTGTTTACTTTGGTTTTGTTCTGCACCTTGAGTGGCTTCTAGTACACTTATCCCTATGAGACCTTGAAAAAACTACTAAATTTATAGAGATGGCACTATTGAGTGGTCCTTGCCAATTGTATATTCATGACGTAAGTAGAAATGACATGAATTTGTTATCTAAGAACTCTATGAACTAAGAAATGTACTTTTTTGTCTATTTATTCTCCAGCGATTTGGAATCAATGATACTATTGGATGCTATATCGATCTTGATAATGGATCTATAAAATTTAGCAAAAATGGTAAAAAATTAACTTGATACAATGTTTAATATTGTCATTATTCACTGCATTAAGAATAGTCCCATGAGGCTTACTTGGTCAAGTTCAACTTCTGTGCATGATGTTTTCATCTGAGATGTTAAAAGTTCCCTCTGTGTTTGAGATTTTGAACACTTGGGCACCTAAGGTTTTAAGTCAAAAGAACAACACTGGTCTACATAAAATAGAGCCATTGGCAGGCCTTGCCGAGAGGGAATTTAATTAGAAATATTGGTAATGCACCTGAACATGAATTTAGTTATGGGGAATTTAATAAATTATTAAATTTCTAATTATTAGAAATATTGTAGTGTACCTGAACATGAAATCTGACTGGTTTGCATCAAATGTTACATTGTTTTGTAGGAGTGGATTTAGGCAAGGCATTTGAGATTCATCAAAGCTTTCAAGGAAACACCTTTTTTGCTGCAGTTGTGTTAAAGGCAAGTAGAAAGGAATTGCAAGAGATCCTATATGTAGCTTGCTCTGATCCAACATGACAATCGTCATTTGATTGAGGGTATTACACAGTATTAAAATGTTGTAGGGAATTATAAAGTTTATCAGAATTTGCAGTATTCCAGACATGTCAACTGCAAAAAAATGTACTTCATACAGCAAGAAAAAATAAGAAGTAAAGTCACTCAATGCTTCAGTGTATCCATCTGTAGAAGTGTGTTTTAACTTCTGTGATTATTCTAATATTTTTTTCACTGTTTTTTCTATGATATGCAGAATGCAGAGCTGTTGTTTAACTTTGGTGATTCACCATTTCAATATCCTCCCAAGGTACAGTGGAAAATTAATGAGTTATTCCTAAAAAGGTCTGGGTAATTCTTGAAGCATTTTTGGCTCCAGTAAGTTACAGGGCTGTCATTAGTCAAATAAAACAAGTATAGGAAGATTTGTGGGACGAATGATTGGCTACTTTCCCTGACAGTACAGGTTTTTACATAATGTTGAACCTTAATAGCAGCCCTGAATGATGGCATTGCTTTGTCTTTGTAAAGTCCATTGATTGCACCTTGCTTTCTACATGCCATTTCATCTTATAAATGCTTACTCTGTGTTTATTTAGTGCTGAAGTTGCCTTAAATAGCATATTTACCTGCCCCTTTAAGCTCTCTGAAATCCCTATGAAATCACCGTCGGTTCTCGTATACTTTAAGTTTTACATTGCACTGCTATATTGTATATATTTAAGGGTGGATACACAGCACTGTCCAAAGCCCCAGCTAATGCAGTGAGTGCATCAAATATGATAGGAGGTATGCTATTATCTGTTACCATCCAGAGGGCACAGTCTATTTAAATCTGTTTCCTTCTCAGACAGAAAGTTCTTAAAAATTCTGCATTTGGTGAGGGACAGATTCCAAGTGACTTGTCAAAGTGTCTTGCAAAGAATGATACAACAAAATATGATAGAATGTTGGCTTCAGAAAATTCAGTTTTTTGGCAACCTGATTCAATGTATGAAAGCAAATTAGGCCTAACTTTTTTTATTGCTGCCCAGTCCAATGGGACGTCATTTTTCACTTAAAGTCCCTTTTCGAGACACTCGACTGTTACAGTATCAAAAAGTTATTTACTTTTTTTATCTTCCTATTTGCTTTTAAAAATATTTCCAGGAGCATCAGCTGCTGCACAGCCCAAATCTGGAAAGTTTAGCAACAAATGTAGTCCATCTGCAATCATAATGGAGGTACTGTGCATGAATTGCAGTGTTTTAGTTTCACCAAGTGCTATTGTTACACTGAGCAGGAGTCACATCAAGTTGTGTTTTAATTATCACAATTTATAGTGCTAATATTGTGAGGCAACCATTCTGCTCATTAAGTTCCATTACTGACAGGCAACTGGTTTTGTGCGCATTTGATCATTTGATATATGTTAATTTGCGCAATACCAAATAATAAATATTATTATTATTTTAACCCTTTACTCAAATCTCTAATGCTGTTATGTTGTGCTCTGTGATCATTCCTACGTCCGGCTAAAAACTCTACCATTCAACACGTTAGCTGAATGGAATGAATAAGGCAATAAATCAGTAATTTAGGTTTCAATGTATTTATTACCAAGTACTACTTGAGGTCACAATGTTTATACATGTACTTTCCCTGCTGGAGATAGGATGGCCATTTTTAGGGTGTTATTCCTGCAATGTGAAGGGTCAAGCAAAGCAAAGGCTGCATCTTCTTCCTCAATTTTAAGAGGAAATCAGCAGGAAATAAGAGGGAATTAGCAGACTGAAACTTCGTGTCTGCTTTTGGGCCTACATTGTGGCTTGTTATTTTTAATTTGGTGTTAACTTTTAACCGCTTTTCATTAGAACTAAACTGCGACAGTAGTTTTTAAAGCAGCAAAGACATAAATGTGCACCTCAGCTGTACCTGTTGTCATGACACTGATGGCCTCTTAACTCTTTAAGCCCTAAGAGTGATCAGCATCAAATTTCTCCTTGTAATATCAGTGCTTTGTAAAACAGAGTGGTCATGAGAATTACGCGCATGATCACACAAGATGAACTTTCTTGATATTTTATCAACTTCTTCCCACTACTTCTGTGAGAAATGAATAGGGGCAACAAATGAGAATTCAAGTTTTGATCTTAGGGTTTAAAGGCTTAAATTCATCATTTTACCTTGACATGAATACTTACCCTGTGTGAATTCTCTTTTACAGCCTTCAAGAGAACTGGCTCAACAGGTGAGGTTTTTAATAATATCCTAGCTTTTATTGGTCTCCTATAGTTATAAAGTAACAGTTGCTTGATAAAGTGAAATAGCTCGTATGTAATTTACAGGTCAGCTGCTAAATAAGTGATCAGTAGCCAGGTGCTGGGTTTAAAATTTCCCGGGGCTGGATGGGGAACCAGTTGGAAGGTTGGCACTTATTTGAAGCTTAGGGCAATGACTTATGTTTGCTATTCACATTACATTGCTTTTGTTTCAAGTGAATTTTAACATAGTAAGGCAAATACAGAGCACATCATTGTAGTATTCCAGTCTACTTTAAGGCAATTTGTTGTGTCACTATACTCGACCTTGGCAAAGAGTAATTTTCATACAAAGGTCTAGATCAGCCAAGTCGCCTCAAAATTTGTTTAAACGATCATAGCGATGCAGTAGTCTCCCATGCAGACGTTTTTAGGGGAGTTGGAAGGAGGAAATATGACACCCCTAAAACGCCTGGGTGGGAGACTAGACGATCCAGTGAAAACGCCACTGATTTGATGCCGAACGATCTGGACAATTAGAGAGACAGGAATTGCCTGGATAAAAATGAAGTATATTTATAGCTGTTTCCCATACAAACGTCTGTATCAAAGATGTGCCGTTTTGGGGAAGCTTGGCGCTATTTACGTTAATGGTTTGTAGTCGTAATATTGCCCTTGTCTCTGAATATCATAGACCCACAATCAGATCTCAAACTTCAGGAAGTTTTTACCAAATCCTCAAGTGAAGTAAGTTTTCATGTTATCGTCAGTAGCTTATTCTATTATATATATATATACATACTAGCGATGATCAAAGGATGATTTGAACATGATTACGGAATACGTCAAATAATCTCGATGCCCTGCCGCCTCCCTCTTCATCGGCTAGTTAGAGATTAGAGACCTTTAGATTCTAAGACGAGAACGACTACGAGTACGAGATTTTCTCAATAGCAAAAAGTAGTCGCGCGTGAGCCAGCGTCATTTTGGCGGGAAAACGTGGTAGCCGTTGTCACTCTACTACGAGTTTTAGCGAGAGTGTCGTAATGGCGGGAACAAGTTATTAGAAGTTTTAGCATTTTGCAATCTGGAGAGGGGTCAACGTCTTTCAATAACCATAACAGTGCTAACTTTTCTAGGGAGAAAAAGTACAGTGAAGAATTCCGGGGTGTCTATTTTTTGACAATACGCGAAAAAACTTTAAATCAAATATCTTAGTCGTAGTCGTTCTCGTCCGCGAATGTGAAAGTTTCTATTATGTCATTCGCCCATGTGATATCTGCGGGGATTCAAGACAGGTATCCCAAGATCCGTTAGATCAACAACGGTTGTCTATACAGTCTCACTTCATTCTGTATTAGGAGTGCATGAGTTCTTCTACGTCAAACGCAATAAACTTCAAGAACGCACTTCAAGTATAAACGCAACTTCCAAAATTAAACTTTAATTTTTATCGTAGTGTTTCACTTGTTCCAGTAAAGAGTAATTTGGCAAAGGGTACAACAGCTGTAAAAGAAAAAAATACTGGCATCTTCATTACTGGTGATCCAGTAGTTTTCATTATGGCCCTACTACAGTCTAGGTTAAAGAGAGAAGGTTTTAAAAAAACCAAGATGACCATAGTATAACCAGTTGTGCTGTTTACAAGCGTGGCCGTTCAGTTGAACGCCGAAGTGCACTTTTTTTTAACTTTTAGGGAGGTACTACTGATTGGCGGAGAGAATGTCAAGACACAAGTTCAGCAGTTAAATGAAGGAGTAAGTTCACAGCGTGATTCTTTGAGTAAGTGCATGTGCACGAATAATCACACCTTTTCAAAGCCAAAATTAAGCAATTAAGCAACTCCCCGTGAAATACCGCCTTTTTTCCCTCCCAGAGTACTATTCTATTTCCGAATACAAGAGCCTCAAGGAGGAGGCGAGAGTTCTTAATGGTGGATTTTGACCTTGAAGCGATTGTTTCTAATCTGTTGGATAATCAAGCTTGTTTTTGCACCTCCACATCGTCATGCCTTCCACGCGGTATAATCTAGCGTGCAGAAGAGGCGCTATTTTTTCGCGTCTTTCGGGCGAACGAAGCACGAAGCGCGCGTGATGCGCGAGACACGTGCGACCTGGGAAGGCCCGGAAAGCGCCTTCTCTCGTCGTTATGCTTCGCGCTTGCCTTCACTCGCCTGAAAAGGGCGTAAAAATAACGTTTGTTGTGCAGGCAAAGTTATCAGCTTGTGTTACGTCTTGATAGTGGAAACCCTTAGTCGGTAGAACTGTGCACGTATGGGCGGGCTCTTTGTATAATAAGCGGTATCCTTTTGTTCCACAAAGAGCCTTGGAGCTTCTAATATCAAATAATTTTTGTGCTGCTCGTGTCCAAGCGGGATAGATATTAGCAAACGCTCGTGGAATTCAAAAGAAAAAGAAGGATACCTAATTGCTGAATGAATATTAGTTCTAAATAGTTTGAGTGGTGCGCTGTTTCTCCTAACTTATCCATCATCACCAGTGATAACATTTTGTAATAATCTTTTTTCCTTTTCTATTTTGTTTGCATAGGTAGACATAGTGACGGGTACACCGGGAAAACTTGATGATTTTATTTCAACTGATAAAATTAACCTCTCTCAGGTATTCTGTGTCATTGTTTATACCATGTGATAATTTCAACTGCCAACGTTTCAGAGCAGTCCGTTGTTTAATAGGCCATTTGAACGATGGCTTCACTTTACTACTACTGCTACCAGAATCCTTCAGGGTTTTTAGTTCTGGGGCAAACATTTATGGCTTTTGTTATTTAAACATTACTAGGATTACCAAATTTAGATATGAAATAAAAAACGAAATGAATTCTGGGGCGCTTACCTTACCGGGCCTTTCGAGAAACGGGCCCCTTGTCTAAATAGTAAAAAGCCAATTGGCTATTTGCTTTTTGATTTAATATAACTTAAATTTAGCTATACCATTAATTTTTCAGGTCCGATTTTTTGTCCTGGATGAAGCGGTATGTTTAACGGTTAAAATGGTCATAAAGTCGCTTGAACGGTTTGTTTAGAGGCGATATATGTGTTCTATAAATATGGTTAATTTTGCTGTAGCCTTGTGAGGAAAGAAGAAGATCTGTCGTCTACACACCTAAATTAGTACTTTCACGCAATTTTTTATCCATAAGAATTGTTTTGAGTTTTTTTTATCTGCTCATTTTCTATTTTTGAGGGATACGTATACGTGAAGCTTTCTAATAATTCCCTCCTCGAATGATTCAAGGAGGCCATCAATCCCTCAGGTCACGAGCACGCTAACGCTAGCCTTGTACTGAGATCTTCTTGGGCTTCGTCAGGTGTTCCTACCCCTCAAAAGCCACGCCAAGGAAAGTTTGTGTAGAAAGCTGCGAACACGGCGCTTTACAAACTTGATTTGATTATTTAGTGTTAACCTTGGATCTGCGTTTTTTTTATTTTTCAGGACGGTTTACTTTCACAGGGAAACCAGGACCTGATTCTGAAAATCTTTAGTAAAATTCCTAAAACGAGTCCAGATGGTAAACGGTTACAGGTAATTAGCTCAACTCATTTGATAAACTTATCATAGCCACAGCAATCAATTATTCCTCTAGCTCACATATACCTGAGCAATCTTTGCAACGTGACGAAGCTATAAAAACACACGCTCGACTCTAATTGAAATACGTTCGAACAAGTCTTAAATCGTTTTGGTTTCACTTTGACGCAATATGAGGTCCAATATGCCTAGCTTCAATAGGGAAAATAGGAACCTTTTTTCAGCAATACGCATACACTGAAGGGAACTAACAGCTCATAGACTTTATTGAGAGGCTTCTTTTGACGTAACACTATTCCAACCAACGGGCTTTGCCTCTTGTTTTACAGATGATTGTGTGTTCAGCAACCCTTCATTCTTTTGAAGTCAAGAAACTAGCTGTGAGTTTGACAATCAATGACTTATCATTCACTGAGAGAAATAGAGTTAGTAGGAAGAAATTTGTGCTTTATCCTGTCATGTTTAAACAAAACAAATCAAGCTACTTTCGCTGGATCGACTTCGATGGAATCTGTAATTCGTCTCGTGGTATAGGGTCATCATCTCTTGCAATGTCCAAGAAGGATGAAATGTCGAAGTTTTCTTTAGACGCAAAAGTTATTTGGGTATAAATTCGCGGTGTTTTGAAGTTGTCTGTGAAAGTAAAATAGGGTGTCCATCGAAACTCCCAATAAATTGAGTCCGTCGTAAGGGTACTTCACATGACCGTAGTGGGGATACTCAGCCCTATAAGGTATGGTTCTCAGAGTTTTCCCCTTTGTAGGCAATCACCATTATTCACCTACGTGGTTTTGATTATGTCTTTGTAACTATCTAACGTGGATCCTTTCGTCCTAGGATAAAATTATGCATTTTCCAACGTGGGTTGATCTCAAAGGCCAGGATGCTGTTCCTGAAACCGTTCACCATGTGGTAATATGCAATCTGATGGTTTTGCAGAGATTTTTTCTTTATCCCTTTAAGTGCCAACAACGCAAATTTTCTCCTAACAGTGTCCATACTTCATCAAGTGGAAACGGTTTTGGGGAACTAATAAAATGATCACCAAAGAGAAAATTCTTTGATCTGTTATTGGATTCTCCCAACTAATTCTTTAAGGAAATGTATGGAGATCAGTCAGGAGAATTTGTATGTGGATATTGGGTCTTAAAGGGTTAAGTAACTTGTGAACTTGCAATCAGCTAAGCCTGGTGTTCTTGCGATTGCTACAGTCGCTGAAAGAAATCCAGCTATGCATATGAACGATTATAGTGACTTATGTGAAATCATGCAGGCTTGAGATAAAACTAAAGTCTATCTTATATTATCCATAGGTCGTGCGCTCAAACCTCACTGCGGTTAAAATACTTTCTTAGATTCCTGGTTTATCTCCCTTTCGTTTCTAGAACATGCTGTTCAGAAAGAAGTGTAGCGTTTCTCGATTTTATCAGCAATTATAAACAAAAAAGCAATAGCCCAGTTCCCAGTTCCCCCGAAGCTACTGAAATAAAAATGATTTTTTTTCTCATGTAAGTAAAACTAATTTAGCAATAAAGGTTTTTAAACATAGCCTCGTTTTGAAAGTGAGAGATTTTGGAGCTCGGACATGGCCTATTTGACCTTCTTCTTCTCGCACATGTCCTCTTATCTCGTGCGCGTTTCTCCTACTTGCGCCTACACTTCTTATGTGTGATTACGCAGCATAGAAACTGGCTAGATAACAACGGAGTAATTTGGCATGGCTCCACCGACCTTTGCCTTATTTATTTCTTTTTTTTTATTTTTTAGGTTTGCCATGTTGATCCCAGGATAGACACCTCGTGGCAAAAAAACAAAAATAAAGTTAAGGTGGGTACAGATGTCCCCTTGTTCAGCAAGCGTCAAAACAGGAGGGGAGAGGAGGAAAGACTTAAAAGGAGAGGAAATGGACAGAAAAGGAAAGGGACTTCCTGTCCACTTTTAATTTCGTGCTTATTTCCCCCTCCCTCCCCTCCCCTCTCCTTTTTGCGCCTGCCACGCAGGCTGTGATAGTTAGTAAACTATAAGTAAATCATCAACAGGTCTCTTTTCATTTAGACGGATGGCATTCACGCGAAAGACAACATAAAATCCGGCGGTCAAAGTCCAGGTACTAACGAATTTTTAATATTCTACATTGTACTCATAAACTGTCTTCTCATTGGCTAAATGAAAATTGATTATAATATTTATAATTATGGTTATAATAGAAACATTTTCTCCGATTCAATGTATGTGGCTTTCTATCATTGTCACGTTTTCTATCAAAACAATTACATATAGATGTGTCCCAATGGATCAGTGATGGATTATATTTTAGTGATTTTAAAAGAAATTTCCGAGCATAACTTCTCTTACAACTGTCGTGTGGTGCGGAATCGAAGAAACACAGTAGGCGTCGCGCCGAAAGCCCATACATTTTACAATTTTATCATGGGCAGTGACCAGACAGAATAAAGTGGTAGTTGTTGTGCTCATTTACTGCATTGTAAAAAAAGGTTCAGTGGTCTCATTTTGTTAACTTTTTTGTGCTTATTCATTTCCCTTTGCGATCAGAATCTCTGTCTGAAGCTGTGAAGATTCTTAAAGTAGAATACCTTGTTGCGGCTATTAACGAACATAAGATGGACCAAGCCATCATCTTCTGTCGTACAAAGCTGGATTGTGACAACGTAGAGAAGCACCTAGTCTCTGTAGGGGGAGGTAAGATCAGAGAATAAATACCACAGGTCATTTCGGTGGCTAGGATACGCTTGCACTATCCCAAAGACCCAAAGAAGAATGATTTAATTCTCGATTTTGTAGAGAATTAAGTGAAACTGAAGATATTGGGGGTACCTTTACTTGCTCTTGCTTCTTGAAGTGGCAGTGAGTATAATATTTAATACTATTTTGCCAGGTAATTTAGGAAATTGTATGCTTGTATCTTCACGTAAACAAGCCTCTTCCTTTTTTATATACAGGTCCTAGTGCTATGGTCAACGAGTATTCATGTGTATGCCTTCATAGTGACAGATCCCCACAGGAAAGGAAATCCAACTTGCAAGCTTTTAAGGTACCAGTAATCACTTAAGTTCAACTTGAGTTCAAATTGTGTGAATGCTCTTTAAAATAAGTAACGGTTTTTCGACCCGACAGTGTTGGCAGTGTTGGAGAGTAACTAAAATCCTATTTAAAATGGTAAACTTGCACTAGTGAGTTGTGAATGCACATGGGAGGTTTGGTAAGTAGGAAAGAAGCGTTGTCTTGTACCCAAGGTTGTATGTTCATTAGAGAGAGTTCATTTTGTACAAGGTTTGCGCTTCTTCTACTAACGTCATTCCCCACTCAACAAACTATACAGGAAATGGGTACTAGCATTCGGTGCAACGATTAAGCGTTACTTGTGATTGGTTAATGGTTGCCTTGGATACCATCGACTCGACCAATCATAACTGACGCTTGTCCACCCAAGCGATCCCAGAAATCACTGCAACCAATACTTGTGCCCATTGTCCCTAGAGTTTCTGAAGTGGGGAATTGCCGTTTTTTGTATCTTGAAGGAGGGTGAAGTTAGATTCCTTATCTGTACTGACGTTGCCGCAAGAGGTATTGACATCACTGGTGTACCATATGGTAAGTCTTGACTTACAACACTTTTTTTATCTTCCTATAAATACGGGTACTACTGTTAAATTCCATCCTTGGTGACCCAAGAGCAGTCACTTGAGTTGGGAGAAATGGCTCCACGAAAGTTTAGAAGAGAACTCCTCGTGCTTCAGAACTCTTTTTGCGCCATTTCTTCCAAATGACTGGCTCTGGGTCTCCGAAGATGGTTAAGTTTCTGTTCAACGGTTTGTAAATTATTTGGACAAGACTTGGCTGCCTTTGCGTAGAAGTAATTGTGATCTCGTAATACAATGTAAACGAATACAGACCCAAACGCTACTTCCATGGATCAGAGCCGAGTTCTTCGAGGCCTGATTTGCGTCAGTCAAGCGTTACAGTAAACAAAAAAAGCAGCATTTGAGTGCTAATTAACTAACGATCAACTTGGCTCTGTCGCTCACATCTTCCACGATTATCGCTTGTGTTTAACTAAGTCAAAGTAATTTTTGTTAAATTGAAAATGCTTCGAACGAGTTGTACTGTTGCTTTGGTAACATATTACTTCATTGACCATATATTTTTCATGACCATATATTTTTCACCAATGATTGGGCGTTTGTTTTATCCCCTTCTTACGTGTGAGAAAGGTCGCCAGGTACCTCTCTGAGTAAGGCTAATAGGGAGTTTTAGCAACGACGACGGCGACGGCAACGAAGACGTCAAAAAAGCAATTAGGTTTATTGAGCAAAACAACAAGTTTGCACGTGCATCGCGCTTTTTTCTGCATTTCTTTGCCGTTACTGCACCACTACGACGTGAAAATGCCTAATTTCCCGTTTTATGGAGGACGTAAACAAGCGACGACGAAATTTTCTTTCTCTTTCTAGATTTGAGTGCGGTTCCCATGAAATCACCTCCAAGGAAATTTGCCTAAATTAGACATTTTCAGCGAACTAAAGTAAACGCGACAAAGTTTGAAAAAACGCCAGTTCATTTTAAAAGTGACGTTTTCGCTGCCGTCGCCGTCGTCGATGCTAAAACTCTCTATTTTCTTTCCTTTTCCAGTTGTGAACGTGACATTCCCAGATGACAAACAGAACTATGTTCACAGAATCGGTCGAGTAGGAAGAGCAGAGAGGTAACCATGAACTGACATAATAATCGGCTCTGTCCTGAGAGGGAGGAGGAAAGCTATCCGTTTATGCTGGGAATCAATGGGCGGTGCGGTTTTTAATCAGCACACTGTTCAAATTATTAGTGTATATTCAGTTGTTTTTTTTTTTGCTTAACACACGTAGTTAATTAGTACCGATTTTATTTGAAAGTTATAATCATATGTATCAATAGATGATCGTCGGAAATTAAAAGAGCTTCTTGTAGAGCGAGCTCAGGGTGTGGTTCCAGAAAACATCAATACACCGTCCCGCCTAACGGAGGGCAGATGACCCTAAAAGGAGGCAATTTTCGAGAAAGTAGACTGTTCACAGTCCCCTTTTTTTTCCGTGTGATCGTCGAGATCGAGTGCGTCTTACCGTTAATGGCGGCCATCTTGATTTCCAGATGTACCGAGGGGTGGACGTCGGGTCGGTACATCTGAAAATCAAGATGGCCGCCATTAAAGGTAAGACGCGCTCGATCTCACGGAAAAATAGGGGACTATGAACAGTCTACCGAGAGGGTTGGGTGGTGGCTTCTCTAGGTCTTTTTTCCGGGGTTCCAAGATTGCAGAGGTACTAAAAACTAAAAGCTGGGCCTCGTCTATTGCATAATCTATCACTTATTTTACTGTTAACCGGTTTTTCAAAACAACAATCATTGTTGACGATCTTTCATTTACGGTAGGCTAACGTAATCGTTCTTTTTGATACAGTTAGGAGGGGGAGGGGGGGGGTCATTAAACACTGTTGCCTCCTTGGGCGGGTGTTATTTTCTAGAACTACAAGTTTTCCTGATAAAGGGCATCATCTGAGAAGGAATGCGCGTAGTGTACCTTAACATCGTTTTCGCGTTAAGTTCCTTTCAGTCCAGTTTTTTAAGAGGTTCATCTTTCTTCATGTTTGTCATTTTTCTCTCGTAGGATGGGCCTGGCACTTTCACTCGTTTCAGATGTGAAAGAAAAGGTAACATACATGGGATACCTTTGAAATGTAGAATGTAGCTTTTTGAGAACAACGTCTGCGTCCTTTCATAGTAAATAAAGCTCCGTAAACGTTTTAGAACTGAGCTTCGCTGAAAGGTTATCTGTTTCATTGTTTTTTTCTTTCTTCATGTCAGGTATGGTACCACTCGTGTCCTAACCGAGGTAAAGGATGTAACAACACGCGCTTAAAAGATCAGGGTGGCTGTGCCATTTGGTATGACGAGAAACAGGTAAATACACCTAGACATTTCTTTCTTTGCCTGTGTATTTATCGAATTCATGTTCATAAATCATCAGCGCGCAGTTTCTTTTTAGAACGATTTTGGCGCGTATTCAGTCAGCGAAACCTACAGACGTGAAAATAGTAGATTTGACTTTTTAATGATGTTTAAATCTTCCACTTTGAATGCGTCCATAGAGGGAGCTGAGCTTTCACTTTCACTCTGAGGAAAAGTTGCCCTAAAATGTGTAAACATCGCGCCATAAGCCTAGTATGGGAGTTGCTTGCCCCGGGTTACAGGCTGCTAACTGTACAGGCTGCGAGGGAGGGGAACGCGCGCATGTCCTCCTTTCTCGCGTGCATACAGTTGAACCTCCAATAAGCGGCCACCCTCCACTAAGCGGCTACTAATCAAGTCCCGAAATAGTTGCCGAAAAAANCGTTTTCGCGTTAAGTTCCTTTCAGTCCAGTTTTTTAAGAGGTTCATCTTTCTTCATGTTTGTCATTTTTCTCTCGTAGGATGGGCCTGGCACTTTCACTCGTTTCAGATGTGAAAGAAAAGGTAACATACATGGGATACCTTTGAAATGTAGAATGTAGCTTTTTGAGAACAACGTCTGCGTCCTTTCATAGTAAATAAAGCTCCGTAAACGTTTCAGAACTGAGCTTCGCTGAAAGGTTATCTGTTTCATTGTTTTTTTCTTTCTTCATGTCAGGTATGGTACCACTCGTGTCCTAACCGAGGTAAAGGATGTAACAACACGCGCTTAAAAGATCAGGGTGGCTGTGCCATTTGGTATGACGAGAAACAGGTAAATACACCTAGACATTTCTTTCTTTGCCTGTGTATTTATCGAATTCATGTTCATAAATCATCAGCGCGCAGTTTCTTTTTAGAACGATTTTGGCGCGTATTCAGTCAGCGAAACCTACAGACGTGAAAATAGTAGATTTGACTTTTTAATGATGTTTAAATCTTCCACTTTGAATGCGTCCATAGAGGGAGCTGAGCTTTCACTTTCACTCTGAGGAAAAGTTGCCCTAAAATGTGTAAACATCGCGCCATAAGCCTAGTATGGGAGTTGCTTGCCCCGGGTTACAGGCTGCTAACTGTACAGGCTGCGAGGGAGGGGAACGCGCGCATGTCCTCCTTTCTCGCGTGCATACAGTTGAACCTCCAATAAGCGGCCACCCTCCACTAAGCGGCTACTAATCAAGTCCCGAAATAGTTGCCGAAAAAAATGGGAAATTAAACCTCCATTAATGGAGGTTGGCTGCTTAATCAAGGTTTCGTCATAAATTAGCATAACCTTAAGCAGAAACGTATTCCGTTAAAATGAAACCAAACTAAATGTGTCAAACGCTTAGTGGCCGCTCAATGGAGGTAACAACAATGGGAGAACTCTCGTTGGGACGGCCAAAAGGTGACCGCAGCCCGGGTACCCCAAGGGTGGCCGCTTAGTGGAGGTTTAACTGTAGTTTATTTCGCACCCCATATTTCTTGTGCGCTACACCCCTCTCCCCCCCCCCCCCCCCCCCCCCCCC